TCAGTCATTGGACTTGGATTTGATAAAACCACGTCACGCTTTTCTCTTCGTTTATTTTTTCTTCTCAAATACGCGTTTTCAATGTCTTTCAATACGCTATTAATAATATTTCAATATAATATACTATTAAACGACGACGGCATTTCTTATTTCTCATGTTAAAACAGCAAATATTACAAAAGTCTTCCGTTAGTTTCTCTCTTTTCCTCAAGAGTGAATTTCGCTGTCTCGTTCGTTAATTCTGCATTCACTCTATCGATTTAGATGTAATGTAATATCGACATGTTATAATCAACGATCAGCACATTAGTGTCAGTTGACGAACACTTAACGATAGAATATATACATAGGAATATATAGATATAAGTGAAATACCGTTCGGAATTTGTAACTTGTTAAGTTAAAAATACTGGCTGCGAGAAATTAGCCGCCTGTATAGCTCAACTATATGGTTATTTTGCGGATACGAGTCCATTCAAATTGACTCGCTTGGCCGGTGAAACTCGGTTATTTTCTTCCTTGCCTTGCAGAAAGAGAGTGGATAGTTGCAATGAATCATCGAAATTAATTAAGATGTACGTATCAAAGTTATCTTCGGATATAAATCGTCAGATTTCATTAGATCGTACGAATAAAAGCGACGTAAAGTTCTTGTTAGTAAATGATAATAAACAAAAAAAAATAAAGAAAACATTTATTTTAAGATAGAAAGACGAAGCGAGACTTTATTATTCCTTCATTACGAAATATAATTCATTTCACTTATTGAAGTTTTTATTTGGAAATGTATCATTGCTACAAGATAAATATATTATTGATACATCAGAAAATTTCTTTCATGATGAAAATAATAATGAAGAAAAAAATGTCTTGTCACATTTTTTTCTGATTAGTAAACTTTTTTAATTTCAACGGTGAATATTGTCTGTGATATCCTCGTTTCTGCTTGGCGCATCTATTTCAAATGTTTTTATCCGTACGGTCCATTTGCTTCGCTTAATTGCAACGAAAATGAACGAGATCGTGATATGAACGAATCGATTTGTTCTAGCGCGAGATCTTTCCCCCTCGCTCCTTGTTTTCTTATCTCGTGATTTCAGATTAGCGCGCGCTTCGGTGCTCCTAACGAGCACGACTTGGGTACGACTTCCGCAACTCGGATGACCACCGTGTCCGAGACTCGTTCGTCGTGTTGTCGTTACCGTACGTGTGATCACGCACGACTGGTGCAATAGTTGATAATCTTTTCGTGGTAATTCGTGCAATAGAGATCAAGCAGGTGCGCCTCCGATGCTGAGGGATGCTAGAACGGCGATGCCTGATTTGGCCAACGCCAAGCTTGCCGAGTAAATATACTTAACTTTCTTCTCTTCGACATTTGATATATT